TTCATTTTTTTTAATTACTTTTTCCTTCAGATTTTTTACGAGCCCATGAGCCGAGCTCCTGGGCTCGTGGGCTGTGCCCACGAGCTGTTCACGAGCTCGACAAGGCTCGGCTTGTACTCGGGCTCGTCATTTGACGAGCCCGAGCCGCCCACCAGCCGACTTTCAACTAGCCGATCGATCGAACTGACAAGCCGCTCGACCCATTTGCCACCACTACTTTCTTGGGAGTTAATGCCACAACAAATTTTCACCACACACTATGCATACGGCCCACGAGCTGTTCGCGAGCTCGACAAGGCTCGGCTTGTACTCGGGCTCGTCATTTGACGAGCCCGAGCTGCCCACCAGCCGACTTTCAACTAGCCGGTCGATCGAACCGACAAGCCGCTCGACCCATTTACCACCACTACTTTCTTGGGAGTTAATGCCACTGACAAATTTTCACCACACACTGCATCAATACCAAACTAATATTTGTGTGCAAAATTATGGACCCACCAACAAATAAAACATTCTAAATAAAACATTCTTTATCATGACAACTTATTTGTCAAATACATGCTATAAAGTTGAACATATTCTACCCAAGAATATCTCTGTCCCTTATTAAAAAAAGAGGCACCGTGCCCCCCAGGGCACATCCGAGTTGGTGGAACAATTGCATTTGTGGACTTGCAACCCCAGCGTGGAGAGTTCGATTCCTGGAAGGCACGAGTCTTGGAAGGGGGATTTTCTCGAAGGCAAGGCAATGACTGGAAGACAGTGATGAGAGCTCTCTTGGAGTCAGGAGTACAAGCGGTGTAGGAACCTGGGAGCCAACAATGGCATAATCCGTGGTTTACCTCCTCGAGTCACTGAGGGGCCGGTGGCTAAAGGTCCAGGATTTAATCCGGTTAAATTGGGATACTGGGGTATCAAAAAAAAAAAAAAAGGAGGCACCGTTAGCAACGCAATTGGTATCTCCATATACTGATTTTAAGCAATTAGCCGGCCATGCTCCGCTTTTTGACAATCTTTTTTTGAGGTGTCCAAAAGTATTCACACAAAAAAAATGGGGATGATTTTTTCCAAAATTTTTGTGCAATATAAATTGATCAAAACATCATTGACTTTTATGTGTCCCAAGCCAAAATTGAGCCCCTGTTAGAGTCACATTGTAATTTTTATTCTTGTTCTTCTACTAATTTCAACCATACATTTTTTAATAAAATAATATTTTCAATTACATCAATAATTTTTCACTCTTTTTCAACTACACATTCTTCATCGATATATTATTCTAAAATACATTCTTCTAAAATAATGTGGCTCAAACACATCTTGATTCTCTTGTCAAAATCCACATCACCAAACATATATTTTGGAGCCCCAACACTTTGAACAACCTAACACTTTGATACCACTTGGCACTTGTTGATAATTGGATGAATTCTTCAATTTGCCTACATAATCCTTGTTCTGAGAGTTTATTTAAAAGCCATAAAATATAAAAGTAGAGGAAATAAAGAACACAATAATTCGTATAATCATATAAAATTCTTCACATACCCTAGCTCACTCCAAAATATTTATATCGGATGAGACTAGATAGGATTCCAGGTCTCACTCCAAGATATTTATATCGGATGAGATTAGATAGAATTCCGAGTCTCACTTCAAGATAATCAATGACTATGTTTAGAATCCAGAATCAATTATTAAACACTAAGGGTCCGTCTGATTCAAAGATGGAATTTGGGTGGAAAGAAAACAAATTGCAGAGAATGGAATTGCCTAAAATTTGTTTTATTGAGAATTATCAATTAATTGTGTTTGATTGGTATAATTTTTCACCTGAAAAATGTTGAAATTTTCTATCTTTTGATATCCGTTTGACTTTGTTTTTATGAAAATTGTCAATTAAAGGGATATAATTTCTTACAATTGGGGATATAATTTGTTTGGATTACCAAAAAATAAAAAAAATTGGAAAAAAAGATGGAATTTCAATTCCCACCTAAAAGGTGAGAATTTCAATTTAACTAAAACCAAGAACACTAGCAAAGGTGGAAAACTAATTCTAAGAAAAAAAAAGTGTCATCAAAGGTGGCAAAAGTAGGAAATAAAATTTTAATTCCAACTTCCATAAAAAATAAGGATCTATCAAACATGCCTTAAGGGAAATATTCTATTGATAGGGACATAAGAGGGAAGTCTTTTGATTTCCATTAAATGTGGGATTCATAATAGTCTCGTTACAAATAAGAAACTAAAAAAACACATATGTGGACAAACAAATCCTATTTTTATTAGAGATCAAATTTGGTGTAACTTTTACAACAAATTGGTGCAATTTTTACATCAATTAGGGGTAACCTCTCCAATGGTTACACCAAATGAATAAATATTTCCTTTATTTCCTTATTATTTATTTCTCAACAATTAATTTATTTTAAATTATTTAATTACAAATTATATTATTACTAATTATTTCTCCAATATTGCTAATTTATTCTTAATTTCTAATTATCAAATTTGTAACTTTTTGAGTTTTTAATGAACAATTTTAATTTATTGTATCAGTACTTATTACTTGATTAAAATAATTATAAATAAATTCAAATCAATTAATTCTTAAGAATTTTAAAAAGAATATAGAAGAAACAACAATTTGTTATAGTAGAAAATGGAGAAGAAGAAGGTGGAA